ATATAATATATATTTCACTTATATATATGTAAATATATAATTAATATGAGTTTTTCATATCTATAATTGCAATAGTTTTGATTATATACTGTGAACATCAGTTAAAATATTGTTATTTTGAATGCAAAAAAATGAATAGCACTGTTTGTAAAATGTAGCTAAGATAGCTAAATTTTACTTTCAACCTTTATCATAGATATGGGCGGCCAGATCCGCTGCTACAGAGGGAGTGTGATATTCGTGTCACTCTGCGAATGGCATCTGTTCAGTATGTGCATACTCAGCGTTTCCAGGCAGAGGTGGTGTCTTTCATCCAACATTTTACTCAGCTTCAGGATGTCTTAGGGCGGCAGAGAGCAGCAATTGAAGGACAAACAGTATGTCTGGGGTTTTTTGTGTTCTTTCCTAGCTTACTGCTGGAAGCTGAAATACAGTATAGAATTTATGTTAATGCATCAACTCAGTGAGCTGAAATGATGGGAACTTAGAGAGTTCCGACGTTAGTGGAGATTGCTTATTCTCATCTTGTAGTTAAAATACCTTATTTAGGACCATCCTGCTGATGTTTGAAAGTGTAGAATACCAAATTTGCACATGACTTAAAACTTTGGCACCTGGATCCTGCAGTATGCACCAATACAGGTGTTTTCCTGTCTTTGTGTTGTTGGAGAAAAAAGGCTCCAGATTTTATCTTATCTTACCTTTCTTCTCCACTATTCACCAGGTAGTTACAATACCTGAATAAGAACCAAGTGAGAAGTCCTTCTGTTCTACTCAGGTGTATGTCTTTTGATGAATTATGATGGCTGGTAGACTGAGAAAATCAGATGCTGAAGTCTGCACGAAAGAGCATATATATAATCATGACAGTCATAGCCTATTTTGTACAAAACCTAATGTGGGAGTGATTAGCATAGTTAATAGTAATAGTCTTGTTTAACAGTAATAGTCTTGAGTGGCTTCTCATAATTGGAAGAAAGACAGTTAATACTTGCATATATTAAAATGCTTCAGTGTGCATCAGTGAGGAAGTTTGAAGCTGATTTTGAAACATCTAAGCTAAATAATAGGTTTTTTTCCCTTTTGTAAATAATTTTTCTTAACTAGTGAGCTGTGGAGTCTCTGTAATGCCTTTCAGTTCAGTGGGGCAGGGTGGGTCACTCCTGATTGTGCACTTGTTGCACAGGTGGCTGCTGTTCCCATCATGACTTTTTTTACCTAGCCTTTAGTCTCTGTCTAAAACAAGCATTCAAGTTTTTTTTGTTTTTTTTTTGTATAAAATTTTATCACATCTTGATTTTGTAAATCAAGGAATAGTGTTCCTTAATTCAGTACTAATCAGTGTGAAATAATCACCCACTTCCTGTATGTTTAAATTTTTTTAAAATGAATCTTTTGTTCTTCCCAGGTAAGAGATAAAGCACAGCGAGCTTCCCGAGTTCTTCTTGATATTGAGGCTGGTGCTCCTGTTCTGCTTATACCTGAAAGCTCGAAGTCTAATAGTCTTATTGTGGCTAATCTTGGAAAACTGAAAGTCAAGAACAGATTTTTGTTTGCGGGTATGCCGGGTACTTTTTCACTAAAGAACAAGGTAAGAACGTTACTTCTTAACTTAGCAGCTTGTGGTTTTTCTAGTTCTTGTGCATTTTATTTCTCTATAAAAATGGTAAATGATTATTAGATTTATATATACACTTTGTACCACTAGTAGCAAAACAGTCCATGCCAGTGCGCTGGGTAACCTCTGGACCTGGCCTGCCGCTGCTTGTTCCCAGCTGCTGCCTTCTGTGCCTGCACCTGGGCTTGTTTTCTGCGACCTTCAGGGCAGCCTGTTCTGTGGAACTCATAGAACTGGCCTTGTTAGGAAGCACGACTCAGCTGGGTGCACACCTGAACGTGGGATTGTAACGGGCTTTCAGCTAACCCTGTTTGGTGGCTGCTTCAACTCTTCATAAAACAAAATTTCAACAGCGTGAGTAGCAGAAAAGAGAGATCTGTATTGGGTGAGTCTTGCTGGAACACACTGAAGAGCAAAATTGGTTTTATTTCTGCTCTTAATGAAGCTGTGTGTAGTTGCTTTGATTAGGTGAAATGTAGTGAAAGGTTTCTAGTAAATGCTTGAACCTAAGGCTAGGCACAGGACAGGGAATAGTTGGTGGTGTTGAGAGATGCAGGCACAAAATTTGGGGTAAGGAAAATCCATCTTGGATGGCTTTCTATATCTAACCTGTGCAACAAAATCGGTAGTTGTTCTGGGAACCAACCACCTAATCCCATTTTAAAGGGGGGCAGAAATTAGGTGGACTAAATTGCTGCAGCAGTTTTGGGGTGTGTTTGTTACCTCCATCTGATTTATATCAACCAGTGTCTTTACAGTAAGGAAATAGTGGACTGTAATATTGGGTTGTTTTCTGTACTCTAGTGTGCTGACATATTTAAAGGCTTGTAAGTGGTAGATTCCATAATTAACATTAGAAGTTAAAAGAAAGGATGTGTGCATAATGATTTTATTTCAACTTAAAAATAATGTTTTATATAGCACTGTAGAACTTTGGGGATTTGAAGTGGGATCAGGTGGGGGTTTGGAGTGGTGCTTTTTGTTTGTTTTGTTTTCATTTTTTTCTGTGTCCTATGTTTATTTTTGAGGATCTGATTTTACAAGGCAATGCATACAAGGATCCGGTTTTATTTGAGGTATTTCACATCTTTATAGTAGTGTTCAGGTGCTCTTCCTTAATTTTATTTGTTTTTTCAAAAGGAAATTTTCTTGTGGAATTTAGCACTTTAAAAGTTCCTTTATACATTAAAAATTATGTTTCTGTTCTAAAGACTTTGCTGAATTCTGTAAAAATTGGATTTAAATTGGTTGTGGTGTGCTCTTTATGCATGTCTGAGGAACTATTAATTTTGATTTATTGCATAAATGCATAGATTTATAGATGATGTGATGATTTTTCTTTGCATGTTCTTTTCAGTCTTGTCCTTACAGTATAAAGCTAAATATTAATGTCTTCAAATTTTTGATCTTAAAATCCTTGATCGTGGCTGCAATGATTTTTTCCAATGTATAATATTCTAAAACCATGTAAGGCAAGTAAGATTAATAATTAAAACTAGAAAGGAAAGTTTATGGGTAAGGACTTTACAGTGACATCAGAAGCTGGACACAGAAAGAAGGTGGGAAATGATAGTAACAACGCTGCAGCCACGAGTAAAGAGAGCAATTCCAGAGTAAGGGGAAGTGAGTCACTAGAGACAAATGATTGTTATCTGCTAGGGCATGTGAAGCTGAGAAAAATTGAAAGATGAGGTTAATAAATTTAAATCAGGAGAGACTAAATGAACCCTGAAATTGGCTGCGGAGTTTAAAGGTGTTCCACCAGACATATGTTTTTGGGAGAGTAAATTCCTAATGATGTTTTGACTATTTCAATAGTCAGCTATGTCCTTTGCAAGTTTTTGATGCTAAGTGGAAAAGGTCATAAGAGTTCCACTGTATCTGTGGTGATGGGGAAATGTCTATAATGTTATACATCAATATAAATGAGCTTTTCTTTTTTTACCTGTGGGGATTTTAACAAAGAGTTTTGAGATTTATTCTGTCTTAAACTTGGCTACTGCAGAAAAATTTTGGGACACATTTTGGTATGATGGCTGAAGTATTTAACGTGCATAAAATAACTTCATGTGTAGAAGTGTTAGTTCATATATTCTAATAAAATATTAAGTTGCTGACGTGATCTTGCATATGTTGTTTTCATCATCTGAAGATTTTCTGAAAAACAACTTCATTAAAAAGTCTTTATTCTGCAGAAATGCTTGATATCTTGTTAGTCTGATCCCTCTATTTTGTATTATTTTCATTTACATGGGGTTTTTTTGTTTTGTGCAGAAACCACTGGTTTTGAATTAATTTCTTATTGAAAAGATTTCACAGCTTTTTTGAAAATGTTGGCGAAATAAATTTTTTCTTAAAATATTTTAATCTGCTGTTAAGGTTATAGGAAAAAAGATGGCCATCTTTCTACAGTAAAAGATACTGGCATTCAAATGAAATGTTTAGGTTTTTGACAGGAATTTGTTGCAGCTTGAACCTTGGCATATTGGTTCCTTAGAATTTATATTCGAAATCTATTGTTAATTACAAAATTACTTTCATTAGCAGGATTCAGTTCAATTTTCATCTCCTTTGGGAACCCCGAAACATAACATGAAGAAAACAACAAGTGCTGATGAATCAAAAGTAGTGATGGAAGGATTGTTCATGAAAAAATCATCAGGAACAAACATTTCTAGGCTGAAGAGTGAGCCTATGCTGAATACTTTGAGTAAACAAGGACAACAATCAAAGCTACCTATTGTACCAAGCCCTGACAGCCCAGGTAGGTGATAAATAGTAGAAACCCCATATAAGTCTTCTTTTTCCTTGTAAAATAATGCAGTGCAGTTTTGCTTATATCTTACATGACAGTTTTGGGTCCAAGCTTATACATTTAAAAAAGAAATGACTTCTTAGTTTCAGGGTTGATTTTTGCAGCTTAAAGGATGAGGGAATTGCATTTCAGTTTCTGGAAGAAAAATCCTGCAGTTTGGGGCTGTTTAGAGATGCATGTTGCAGACATATAAGGAGTATAGTTGGGCTCTTAAGATACGTTTGCCTGTGAATGAGCTTGGTATCTGGTAGTTACAGGTATTTATGAGTATGAATAATAAAAAAAAAAGAAAAAAGAAATCTGAATAACTTTCAGGAGAGACTAACTTTCTTTTTAGAGCCAGTTACATTAGTTTTGTACAGATTTGGTTTTTTCTTTCTTAATGTGTTCTCTCCTGTGTACTTGCAGAGGATCACATCTGCCTCTTAGACTGCATTGTGGTTGATCTCCAGGACATGAACATATTTGCTGCGGAAAGATACCAGAGAGAATATTCAAAGGCTGTGGAAGATACAAGTGCGGACTTGAGCTTTCCATCCTACTTCGTGAGGCAGACAGGAGGAAGCCTATTAACAGAACCTTTCAGACTGAAGTTACAAGTAGAGAGAAACTTAGACAAGTGAGTTTATCTAAACAGGATTGCTTTATGCTGTCAGCCTAAAGCCAGTGTTTTAGGTGCCTTTTATTCTATCTTAAAAGTACTGCCTGCTGTGTTACAGCACCTTGAAATACTGAGAGTTTTTCCTTTGTTGTAGAGAGCTAAGTCATGCAGTTGCAGACATATCGATACATGGCAATCTGTCATCAGTCCATTGCTCTCTGGATTTGAATAAGTATAAACTGATACGTGGACTGCTGGAGAACAACCTTGGGGAGCCTATAGAAGAGTTCATGCGGCCTTATGATTTGCAGGATCCAAGAATTCATGTAAGAAGAACTATATGCAGTTGAAATTCTGTCTTGAAATATCTGTTACTCTCTTGTAGTTTACCATGTGGACTGCTAGATTGTAAAAAAAAAAAAAAAAAAATTTAAAAAAAATCAGGTAGATGAACAGTGAAGGTACCTTTTTGTCTGTAGATACTCATTGCTTGTATTTGTTGGTTTGTTTTAGGTATGCCGAAATATATCGCTGGGGAAAAAGGTTAACAAATCTATGAAAACTACCTTTTTTTCCCCTGAAGTATTCAAGCTGAGCCACTATTACAGTATATTTATTGGTACATTAACAAGCCTAACATTTTTCCATTTGAAGGTAGCTTTTTAGAGGGACTTGAAAGGTTATCCTGTAATCACATGCAGGGTGATGAGTCCTTTCCCATGGTGTCTGTGACATTGCTAGAGACTTATGAGATTGTGGAATGTGTATTAGTTTGTGTTAAAAGCCCTGGTTTTGTCCTATAAAATCTGAAAGAAGTATTTCAGTAATAAAAGCTTTACAGCAGAGCTGAGCCATTCTTTATTTTTTTTGAGTAAGTTCTCAAGTATCACTTATTTGGCTGTTGTCAAAAACTACCCTTTCAGGAGGAGTGTGGACAGCACCTGGAAATAATCAATATTTTTCCTTATTACTGGGAAAGAAAGTTGTTGACTAACATATTTTCTCTTGATTTTGTGGGCTTCTAAGCATAGTCTATGCTGCACAACTAATCTTTGCTTAAGGTGTGTGACCACAGCAGAGGGAAAAATTGATACGAAACCTCTAGGATTCTCTTTAAGATCTGAGGAAAGAATGGGTGGAGTTCTCCTAATACAAGTATGCTTTTATTGTCAGGCTTTTCACCTAAAAAAAAAAAGGTTTCACAAATTACAAATCTGATTTAATAATAGAAGGTACCTGAAACAATTTGAAAGAATTGTTGGCTGTTTGGTTCTTTTTGGGGGGTGATGACAGCAACGCTTTATTTAAGAACAAAGAAGCTATAGAACAGTAGTGCCAAAATGGTTAATGGACATTTTTCAAGTTGAGGGCTACCCTGTTGTGAAATGATACTCTTTTTTCCCCAGCAAAGGTTAATGAAAATCTTTGAAGGAGAAAGACACAACAACTGTCTGCATTTGTCTGAAATAACAAAATTTAATTCAGGAATGAAAGTTAAAATAGATGCTCTTAAAAAGGATGTTGATGTTTTCTACTTTCAGACAGTTTTGAGTGGAGAAGTGTATACGTCTATGTCGTTCCTCATTGACATGGTTAATGTGAGTCTGGAGCTCATGGATCCAAAAGGAAAAGATCGATGCAGCTCTTTAGCCAGGTATGAATTTTCTTTTGTTTACTGAATACCTTATCCTAAGTACTATGCTCATCCGAGAGATTATCGGACAGGAATTAACTTAATACATTAAATTATGTTTTAATAATGTAATGACCTAGAATTTCTTAATTAAGAGTCCAAATTGAGAGTTTCAGTTCATCTGAAAGATGAAGGAGAATGACACTGCTCAAAAGATACCATCTATGTCTTTCAAGTTGTCCTTGAAATCACCATTCAGTAGTCAGTTGACTTGCCTAAGACACATGGTATTCTAATTAAGAAAATGTTGAGAGGTAATCTTAAAAAAACAGATTTCTGCTATGCTGTTTTGTTGGTTTTTTTTTAATCCAGACAGTTCCGTATCAGTGGAAAATATTATTACATACAGTATAGCTCTACTTTCTAGCTCTGTGACATGAAATGTGATTATAGTTGTTTCATAAAATATGTAAATGAAAGATACAGCAGTATACCACGCATACTTTTAAAACAAGTGACTTCTAGAAATAGATGAGCTTTTTATTCTTCTAGGTTTGATTTTAAGAAATCCAAGTTGCTTTTTGAGAGCTCTTCAAATGGAACAAAGTCTGTAAATTTGGTTTCTCATTCCATGATGGCATTTGACACACGTTATGCTGGACAGAAGTCTACTGCAGGCACGCCGAATGTGTTCAATTGCATCTTTCAGTCGTCAAAGAATACTAGTAGTCCAGGAGCAATCCAGATTGAATTGCATTTCAGGTTGGTAATTCTGGGTATTTTTTGTTTGTTTTCAATAATGACATAATCAGGATTGTCTTGGTTTTAGTACAACTGTTACAAATGTAGATAAACTAGCTGGCATTGTATTTAAATCTAAAGACATTTTTGGGGTGGTCAGTGTTACTTGATAGATTGAAATATACAATTATTAATCAACTGAAGGTTGTTGAATTTTAAAAAATTCCCCCCCCCCATTGTTGTAATAAAAACAAAAAACTTAAAGCTTGATAAGCCTGGCTTATCACTTGCACGCTTGCATAAAATCATATTATAGAATTTTTAATATATGTTGTGCAAAAGCTGTTTCCCAGTAGATGTCACACTTGCCTTTCTGAGAGAATCAAATTAATACAGAAATTGCACCTCTTTCAAAAAACAATCTCTGCATTCTCTTCTGTGTTCTATCCTACCCTGTTTGTTTGTCCTTATCCAAACCTCCTGGAACGTTTAAGGCATCACAGTGGGTATCAGTTTTGTTCTAATTTAATATTGAAAATGGGAATATAAATTACAATGTCAATATTTATCTCTGTCAGCATGGTGTTTTGTTAAGGGATGTTAACTAACAAGAAGATGAAGTGAGATCACTAGAGATGTTGCTTTCACTTTTGATTGGGCTCACTGATCAAACTCAGCTTTCTAACTCTTTTATAAGCATCATACCTTCTGAAGCATTTGTAGAAGTGGCATAGAAAAAAAATCTGAGGACTGTTTTAGTCCAGTAGAAAATCTTGAAGACATTTGTTCATGAAAAACAAACTCAATTGAGAGAAATTTCTTGTGTAGATTTGGAAAATGCGTGATGATTTTAAGTACTTAATAAGTCTGTGTTCAGAAAGACACCAAGATTTTGATTCAAATAAAATTAAAATGCCATGGGATATTAAAAAAAAAAAAAGGTTTCATGTAACTGTTGATCCACTACCTGCCTAGATTGGAGGTTAGTTTGTACAGTATAGCTAATCTGGTTTATGAGCGATAGTTTCAGGAATTTTCTTCTCAACTGTTGTGCTTTTAAATTTTAGCCACATAAACATGTGTTACATTTTTACTGGTGAGAGCATCCTTGGCACTAGATGTAAGCTTTTGCAGAGCTCAGTGATAGTGTTATACTGGCTCGTGCCTTTTGGAAATATCATGGAGAGCCAGGGAGGGTTAAAGGCTTTTACTGTTGGAAGCAATGCAGGCAGGCTGCTTCTCACAAAGGAATTACAGTTCTTCAGAGATTTTGTAGTTCAGAATGTGTTGGATATAAAACTGTTTCATGATATTTAAGCACTTAGATTATTTTCCAGTTATCATGACCAAATATAATTGGTATTCCAGATCATGAAGCCAAACACTTTTATCCCTCCTAGCCAGATATTCAAAATGTGATGCTAAAAGTTCAGTAAGGCTAGCATTTTTTCTGAATGACAAAGAAGCTTCCTGTGCTGCAAAATGCTGTCAGGGTGTGAGAGGAAACACATTGTATGTCTAATCTTGTAGAGAGATGTGGAGCCAGGTCTAAATTTCACACGCAGTACATTAGATTTCATACCAAACAGATGTAAAATAATAATGAAAAGATCAGGTTTAAAATTTGAGACTTTGCAAATATCGATAATGTAAACGTATTAAAGGAGATTTTATAAGTTAATGTCTTGTTACATAGTTTTTCAATTCATCTTTTGTATCATTACAGCTTAGAATTCATGCAGTTGAGATCTGTTGGGTTTCTGTGGGTACAGCAACTTGATGAATTTCAATCTGTTTAAATATATATATGTGTATTTTAAAAGCCAGACACTCTGTAAAGTAAGTGTATTCCTGTAAAGTTCCAGATGCTTCTTACTTGCTAGATACTGGTAGTTTCCTGCATCATCTTACATATATGCGAGATGTAAGGTTCGTATGTGTGCTTCTCTCTTCTTTAAAGGTCTACTAAGGATTCCTCCAGTTTCACAGTTGTTCTGAACAATCTTCGTGTATTTCTAATATTTGACTGGTGGTTACTTGTTCATGACTTTTTATATACTCCTGGAGATACCAAAAAGTGGGAAAATCGCCTTTCTTCCCGGCAACACACTTACAGCAGTGAAACAACTGTAGTTCCAAAAACAGTGAAAAGTGGAGTAGTTACAAAACGTTCATCGCTACATGTATCTACAGAAAAACAACTGGAAGTTAAGGTTAATGTGACAGGTAAACGTATTCTTCTCTAGTGCTTTTTTAGGAGCTTTTCTGAGTAAAAGCTGTGTGCCAGTGGAAAAACTGGTCCTTTAAAGGGTGGAAAATCAAGAAACCCGCTACAAATGCATAAAATACCTTACTGGTATTTCCAATTGCCTTGTTTATTATTTGTCATTTTGTTTTGTTAAGGAACTGAATTTGTGGTCGTTGAAGACATGTCTTGTTTTGATACCAATGCAATTATTTTGAAGGGGACTACTGTTCTCACTTACAAGCCCAAGTTGTTAGATCGTCCCTTCTCTGGTAGTTTGTTTGGCATTGAGGTAAGAAGAAATAAATTTGCTTTTGTAAAACATCTAAAATTAGAGCAACTAGTGAAGATACTTTACTATAAATATATATACACAACAGAAGTAGTCCATAGATGATTCTTGAAGTTTGTTAATTCCTCATCAGTTGCTCTCATTCCTACAGCAGTTTTAAGAATGGGTTTATATTGTTTCTGTTAAGACATTGAAACACTTGACTGTAATCACAAAATATTGCTAGTTACTTAATCTAGCTTTCAGTCATGAACTGGCAAATTAATGGAAAGCTGAGGAGTGACTGGGTAGACAGAAGCCCACGTGGTCGGCAATGACCTGCAAGCTGTCATCGTAACTGACATGAGGTGAACAAGCAGCATCATGCCATTAGAATGTGCAAGTGGCGTGTAGGAATTTTGAATGTGCAAAGTGCTCCTTGCATCCTATTCAGCAGAGTAGGACCACAGCTGGAGTGCTTTGGCCGATCTTGGGGAAACAGGGCTGAAGAAGCTCTGAAGAACTGAGAGGAGGGAAAGAAGAACACTCAGAATTGAGGGGTACATAATATATTGGGAAAGTTTAAAAGAACTTGCTCAGAAGAAGAGGCTGGGCAGAGATGTGGTAAATCCTAAATGGTTATTGTAGACCAAAGAACAAAGTGTTCTCTGTGATAGGAGTAGTGGATTTAAGCTTAGCAGTTTAGAGAATATTTGGCTGCATATCAGAATCTCTTTTCCTGAACTTGCAGCATAGCTGGGCACTGGAATGGATAGTCTGGAAAGATTTTGGAATCTCTGCTCTCTTAAAGTTTACAAAGGAGTTGTCTGTGGAGAACAGTTAGTTCATGGCTATCGTTCGTGCTTTGTGATGGTCTTTGATTTCAAGGTTCTGCCAGTTGCTAATTTTTTCAAAACTATTTTTGATTTTTAGGTTTTTTCATGCCGGTTAGGAAATGAGCAAGAGACTGCACTGTCAATTATTGATCCAGTACAAATTCAGATGGAACTCGTTGGGAATGCTTCCTACCCAAGTGGTTCAGGACTGTTGGATGCTTTCAATAGTGAGGATTTTCCTCCTATTCTAGAGGTAATATTAAAGGCCTGCATAAAACTTTATGCAATAGAGAATACTAGAACATGATCTCGCACAGATTTTTTTGTGCTCAAAGATTCAATAGAATACTTTCAAATGTATAAGAAAAGAATAAGATAAATTTTTCCTGAAGTGGAAAAGGCAAAGATACAAGCAGGGAGAAAGTACTCTTAGTGGTAACAAAGGACTGATTTCTGGGATATATTACAGAGATTAATAGTGGGGGGGAAAAGTGGGCTGATAATGTAGACATTAGTTACTAATACCTGAAAGAAAAAGGTCTGTTTTCTGTATCCCATTGTTAGTGTTAATTAGAGAGGAAATCTATTTAGAGACACCTTTTTACCGTTATACCAAAGGAAAACCTTTTTTCCCCGATAGATGCTTTTAATGGTTTTGGTTCTGGGTAGATAATAACATGTTTGGTACTTTTATTAATGGAGCTTTAAAACAGTGTGGTCATCAGATTTTAATACTAAATTTTGTATTCCTTTGGGAAAAGCTTTGTTAATATCCAAAGCATACAAGAAAAATATGTAGAAAAGGGTAACTGAATCTTATTTTTTTAATTTTTCATTTAGATTCAGTTGCAAGCACTGGATATCAGACTGTCCTACAATGATGTTCGGCTGTTCTTGGCAATTGCAAAGTCAGTTCCTCAACAGACTAGTGCAGCTATGCCTGACTCAACTGTATCGATTGCTGAAAATACTGTTAATCCTTCTAGTTTAGCACTGGTGAATGAGACTTCTCCCTTGACACATGAAAACAGAGTGCCATCCAAACGTGTGTTGGATCCTGTTCTTGGTATGTTTTTAACTGCTGAAGCCATTCTTTATATCTAAAAGAGGTTTCTGCAGTGTGAAGCTGGACTATATGCTTATCACAAAAGATGTTCATATCTTCATCGTGTAAAACCCTTCATTGCTTTGAATTATCTGATGATACCATTATAGTGATGATATTATTAAAAAGTAGATTTTTTTTCATTCATTTCTTTCTGCTTCTAGTATGACAGTGGGTTGTTTTATATTAAGTTTTATTTAGCATTGCTTCTTATTGTAAATCATTATGATGGAGTACTTGTTAGGTAGCAACCTTTTACAGGGGGAGAGGGGACACCCCTTCAAACTCATTAAACTGATAGTGAAATGGAAACCATCATAATGACTAGTAATCTCTTCACATCTAGCGATCTTTTCTTTTTTGGTAACATTGCTCTTTTACAAACTAAAAATTGTGTGTGGTTGGAAACACCACCTGATGGTAATGAGGAAATACACACTAGTGAAAAAGATTTTATTCTCTGTTACTGCACTTGAGAGTCATGTGGGGAGTTCAAAGTAAATAAGTAATTGTGTTCTGAGTGAAGGGTTGGTTTACACAAAAAATTTTAGTCCCAACTGAAATTCGTGGAGTAGGTTGGCTTCCTGTACGAGAATAAAAGTAGCCCATGTATTCTACAATGTAAACATTATTGTTTACAATAATGTTGGGGGGGTTTGGGGGTTTGGTTTTCAGGCTTTTTTTTTTTTTTTTAAAGTGGTGCTGAACCAAATGCTTTTTCTACAGTTGCAATCTTAAACAAACAAAACCCCATTTTTCATACAGATATATCTTAATTTTAGAAATTAAAACAAGTAGATAACTGTCAAGCATTTATGATTGCTTAACTGTTCAATTATAGAGGTACAGCTGGCTCGCCTCCAAGAATTGGGATTCAGTATGGAAGATTGTCGTAAAGCTCTTTTGATCTGCCAAGGTAACCTCAAATATTCTTAGCTAGCCTTGCAGATTGTTCGTATTACTTAACTTGCAACTAAGTAAAAACTTCCAGACTGTAAGGTGGCTGATGCACAGACATCATCATCTTTACTTGGACTCTGTGTTGGCATGTAATCTTAAGCATTCTTCATTTTCTATTCTGCTGCTGTGTAGAACCCAACCCCCAAAGATTCTTCTTGCCTTTTGGGACGCCATGTGTGGGGTGTGTGAGTGTATTTTTGTTTGGGGATTTGGGTCATGGATTTTTTTTTTTCTTTTAATGGTATACCTATTTCTTGCTATTATCCATCTCTTTAGAGCATGTGTTTTCATCTCTCCCTTTTTGAATAATGTGTTTTACCTACTTCTACATGCAATACATGAAAAGAAGATGACGCTTTAAGACAAGTGATTCTTTTTCTTTAAGGCTGTCATGTTTCCCACCTTATTTATAGACATTTGTAGTATTAATACAGATTTATATTATGTTGCCACTCAATTTGCAAACTTCAAAATACACTGGTATTTTCTAAGAGTAAGAAATGTATTTATAGTCTTTCATATTTATGTTATTTAATAGAACACATTCCAGGTACTGTTGATGTCTTGCTGTACCTCTTAAAAGAGAGGGAATTAGTTTGCTTCTGTACATTTTTTAAATAAGTACATTTCATTGAAGAAGTAGATGATCGATTGGTTGTTTGGTTTTATCTAAGGTGACTTGAAAAAAGCAGCAAGTTGGTTATTTAAGAATGCTGAACCTTTGAAATCAGTTTCCCTGACCTCTTCTGGTCGAGATAGCCAGGGGATTGTGCCTTTTCAGTTCATCTCTGGAGTGGAAATAAAAGCAGAAAGTATATGCATTTGCTTTATTGATGACTGCATGGACTGTGATGTTCCCCTTGCTGAGTTAAACTTTTCATGTGAGTATCATGTTTTGCTGTGTGAGTTGCATAAAAGTACTGTTGGTTACTGTGTGAGTTAACCACCATGGTCCAGTTTCTTAGGATTTGTGAAATTTCAACTGACTGTTTTGGTGGTGGTGGTGGTTGTGTGTGGTTTTGGGTTTTACTGGTGGTTGGTTGGTTTGTTTGTTTTAAGTTTTGTTTTTGAGAAGTCTTTGTAGGGTTAAGATTCTGGGTTCCCCTTTATAAATGCCATAACAAATGTAATCTGTCCCGAGCAGAATTCTTGGGAGGCTCAGTGTTGTAAAGCAGGGCTGTCTGCAAATGCTATTTGAGGAGTATTATATATGCTTTTTCTACCATTTAAATTTGAAAAATGAGACTAAACCCTCCATTGCTTACTTATTTCATGAAAACAGGAAACTTTATTGTTTTGCATTAGTATAACATTCACTTTTTTCCTGCAGGTTTGAATTTTCTCCAGCATTTGAGAGCCAACCCTGAAGGCTATGCTCATTTTACCCTCTCTGGAGATTATTACAATCGTGAGCTATCAGGTGAAATGCTGGGGGGTTTGTTGTTTTCTTTATTTAAGTTCAGGAAAACAACCTTGCCTACTAACAGTAGCCTGAACTTCACCTAACATGAAATGCATATAAGGGAATGTGAAAGGCTGACTTCTGTGATCGTGTGTGTGAGAACACGTGATCCTACACAAGATATCCTTGATATCAGATGGAGGGATGTGCAAAGTAGAGATTGCTGATACAAAAGTTGCACTTAGGTTTTCAAATGTAATTGCATGAAGAGGTTATCCAGGAACATGACAGTTATGTAACTAGCTGTCTCTGTATTCAATTTTCTTTTTTAGTATTTAATTGTTTTGATGCATTCAGTTTGTTACTTATTTCAGGAAAGAAAAGCACATGAGGGTAAGCGATTAGGCTGAAGACAATGGATTAACATAAGTAGACCATCATAATTTATATTTTAGACATAAAAAAGCAAATTATGCCTTAATACAGGTCAGACACTGACAAAAGAAATAATGTAGTTGTGTGTTTTCTCTGAATTGAGAAACTAAATTTTCTGTTATAAAACCGGTGACAACCACCTCAGGAATTATCTGTCAATAACAAGGTAGATTTTTGTTTTTAAAAATAGATAGGGTCGGTTTTTTAAATAGCTTTTAGACCTTTGTCTTTTGTGATACTGAATAGGCAGCCAACTTAGGTATAGTTGTGTGAAAATAATTTTCAAAACTATTTCAGATAACTTAGTTCCAGCCAACTTCAGTATGAAGCTGTAATTGCTTTCTAATGCTTTCATCAGAATTAAGATATTTCTGCAAGGCCGTGTATATAGGATACACTGGTTTAAATGGAGGAGCTAGAGCAACTTTGTATTAGCTAGTCAATTAAATTTGTAAGCTTACAAGTTCATCTTGAACGCAAATTGAAAGTAAGGGATCTCATTATTAAAGTTGCATTATTAAATACTTAGGTGTGTAAACAGCATTCCAATGTGGCCTTCGAATGTGTAATACATGTGGCATTTTCTGTTTGTTCTCAGGCTGGGAGCCATTCATTGAGCCATGGCCGTGTTCAGTTTCTTGGCAGCAACAAGCTTCGAGCCGCCTCCACCCTTCGCGACTGAAGCTGGAAGTAAAGGCTGAAAACCGTTTGGATATAAACATTACCTCTGTCTTCATGGGTATGTAGGAATATTCCCTGAGAGCATCGCTATACAGGCTAATTTTCACTGTACTGAAAATGACAGACATTTCTAATTGAGTCCTGCTGGTCTCCCATAGATGGAGAGAGGGAGATTTGGCACAGGTCCCTAGATACTTCACATGGTATTGTACACAGGTGTGCATTTAGGCAGCCTGTATTTTATCAGATACTGTGAAAGTGTAAAGACATGAGCTACGTATTTTAAACGTTAGTAGGAATTCTTTCTTTGGTCATACGAATTCTATCAAATTCATATGTTATTTGAAATTTATTTTTAATCAGAAACAGGCTTTCATCTAAACTTTCCATACTTTATAATACTTAAAAATATTTTGATAAGCTCATCATTTTTCAGTACGTTGATAGGCTTAGTGGGGAGCTACTCACTTCAGTTCTGCAGTCTCTGAAGCCCTGAGCTGTCAATTCCCACCTCAGGAAATCAAAATATTTTGTTCATCATTAACTCAAACTTCATGTATGCTTCTGTGTTGTGAGCGTATGATTGTGTGCATTTCCCAGAAATATCGTTGCTTATTCTGTATGCAAAACTGAATAATTTGGTGGCCATAATAACAAAATGTAAATGGCTGAACTTGCAAATGTAACAGAAGAGCCTTCCTTGTTCCTTGAGTATTCATTCCTTTCTCCTGTGGGGATGGCAGAAGGTGGGAGGAAAAGATGCAAATCAGTGATACATAAGGGTTCCCATGATGCTTTTTAATACTGGTGATAACAAGTAATAAGACTAGTTTATGATTAATACTGTGTCAGAAGACTCCATTGGAGCGTTGATATTTATGCAGGAATATATACCTCTTAAAAAATATATATTAGAAACTGTATCTAACATGAAAATATTTAAGGTTAATTGCCTCCTCAGGGAGAGCTCTTAAATTGCCACAGGAATATCTTAAGATCAGGGTATTCCACTGAAAGTTTAAAAAGAAAAATCTTGAGAATCTGAAAACACTTGGTTTTGAAGACACTGCTGTGATTTCATGAGCTGTTGTTTGTCTTTAACTTACGTGAGAGGCTCATAGAAAAAGCAGTGAAGTAAAACTTCTGCCATTCAAGTGGAGTAACTTTAGTGTTATGAATCTAACATACTTTTCGATTACTTTGTTTACTGCCACCTTGGAGACATTCACTGTCTATGCTTATATTCCTCCAGAACAATACACATGTACCAAGCAGTCATGGATGGAAGATTACTGTAAACAGGACAAAGAATTGAATGTAATCAGTTCAGAAGACTGGATGGGCTCTTCGGTGGATCCGCCGTGTTTTGGGCAGAGTATGATACTCATTAATCACGCTTTATTTGAAACAGTCCTGACATACATAGTCATCTGTCTAATGTATTACAAACATAAGTATTTGGTTTTCATAGCATACAATGAATTGTTAGAGCTATTTGGCAAAAAAATCAAACGTGCTATTTCTGTTCAATTGTGTTCCGTTCTTTAAAAACAAAAACCTTTCTGGCTACTTAGCTTTGAGTGAGGACTTTGTACTGCTAGTTCTGCTTCTTTTTTTTTTTTTTTTTTTTTTTTTTTTTTGGTCACGCTTTTTCAGTTAATGTGTGATGATCCTGTCAAACATTAAATAAGAGTATTGAGTTTGGGATGTGTGCAGTTTAGGGGTGATCTTTTTCTTTCTGTACCCCCAAAGACCTAAATGACTGAGTTTCTGGAAAAAAAGCTGTTACATTTGTGAAACAATTCTTTAAGTAATAGCTCTTGATATGCGGCGTGTCTTTTCAGCTTCTTTTCTCTAAGTGTTAATTCTGGAAGAAATTTTAGCAATTCAAATGCCAAATTAGTATAAGCAAATTGGTAGAGACTCACACACTGATTGCATGATGCCAACTGTCTGTATCTTTCCTGATGCATGATGGGGAAGAGTCTGCCTGTATTTGTGTGGTTTTTCTTACCTGCTAACTTTGTCTTTCCTGTCTGCCAGGCCTTCCTCTTGTCTACCTTAGAACTAGGAGTACAGCCAGTTTGACTAACCTAGAGCATCAAATCTATGCTAGAGGTACTGTATAGCAGAGAGAGCCAAGAGGGTTTTTTCTTCTTTGGAAAGCTCTTGTACGATAAATACTGTGTTGTATGTGTGACTTGCTGGTAGATTGGCCTCTAGATTTAAAACAAACAAGCAAAAAACCCAAACCACGTAACAGCTACTTTGCTTTTAAGCTGCTTAACTTAGCATTTCATCCTGTCTTTCTCTTAGGTTCCTCTCTGGGCCCTTCAGGAAAGAAGGGAGAAGTGTAACTAATGCTATGTAGGAAAACTGTCTTTTTGAGGAAGGTTATATGAATTGTTGGCTGTTCAATGTCCCTTTTCTAGAGAGACAGCGTACTGTGATTGAAAATAGCATAATAAAATAACAAAATTTTTTATTTTATAATCTAAAAATATCCAGTGGTATGTTTGATATACATACTTATGCTTGATTCAGCGAATATATTTAGCTACTTAATACTTTATACTGCCTTCAGAAGGAACAATCTGTTTTCAGTAAGGTGTTTCTAATAAATATCCTGTTAATTTGTTTGTTTTATATACGACAGTACAGTCTTTGGGTAAAACCCAGTTTAAAGTAAGATTTTTTCCAAATTTTTATTTTACAAGATTTTGTGACATTATGGAAGACAGACCAGCTCACATGATAAATATATTGTCCCTGTAGAAAAGTTGCTGAATGGGAGGAGAGAAAGCTTTCTACAGATCTCTGTATGTGCCGGTTCAGACTGCCCCTTAGAAACATTTTCTCTGAGTGGTTGCAGACAGTTCATAGATGTTTAAAAATCTCAAAAAAAAAAAAAAAAAGGAAAATGATGGAACGATTTATTTTTCTGAAGTATTTTTCAGAATTTTTTTGGTGAAGAAACCAACAAAACCTCTTAATATTTATTGCGTGGCTTTTAGTGGGTGTTGCGACTAAATGAATTATGGAAAAAAAACCTCCTTGTAATGGTAGTCTGTATTTTCAGGCAGTAGTCTCAAAATGCAACTTTTACATTACGTTTTCTTTTGAAAATCAGGCCATTGTCCCAACAATTCTTTTTTAAAGTCTCAAAAAATAAATTGGCAATTGATTAAATGTCAGGCTGAAAGTTCATGTGGCTCTGGTCCATCATTTTGTAGAACCTGAGCTAGCCAAAAAATTGTATGAAGTCAAGCTCAACACTAAAAAGATTGTTTTATTTGCACTTGGCAAAAATCAAGAGTTTTCATTTTCAAGCATTTCATCTTCCTGCCATTTAATCAGAAAGAACTTTCTCTGTAAGGTTTAGAGAGATCAGATTTAAGTCCCCATGTCAATGTAAGGTATATAGGAATCATCAGTAAAAATTTATACCCACCCTGCATTATCCCTTCTTGCCTCTGTAAACCAGTGCTGAAGTTATTCTTAGATGCATGTCTAACTGGGGTGAGTGGGTCTCAGAACATGAAGTACTTCAACTTGATATCAGTCAGCCTTTGGAGTGACTGCAGATAAATTCTGTGGAATAGATTTAATTCCTGTGTTACCTTTTCTTTAAGCAGCTGATGTGTTGTGTGTGCCTTCTTTCTACTTCTCTCATACAAAAAGATGTATGTATTTAGGGAGCAGCCATTTATCTTCTTTTTTAAGTAGTTACTGGAATTTGGCAGGCCCTTTTTTCTGTCCAAACACAGTAAGTATTTTCACAGATATGATGTACTGCAGTATGGAAGACAAGAGTAATGCTTGTGTGCTTGTTAGTAATGCACACTTGAAAAAAGTCAAACATCGTAGGTGAAGTTCCTTGTTCTGGGGTTTTGCTATCCCAGCATTTTAACAAAACCAGATTACCTTTGGTTGCATTCAAATTATTTTTCATACTTTTTTTTTTTTTTTACTAGGCTTTATCCTGTATAGGAAAATGTTTCTGCTTGTTCAGTCTTTGAAGATAAAAGTCCACTGAAAGAGGGTACCAGATAATCCTGTATTCGTCACATTCAATAGAGCATAAATCTTAGTTATAAGTGAATGTGTGTTTAATACTTTATGAGCATTTGGATGTACATGAAAAGTTACTGATGATGACTGGGTTTTTAGTTAGGTTTTCTACATGTTAGTTATAACTGGAGGCAGTCTAAGAACATGTAAAGCTCAGTTCCTGGGGGAGTTGATGTAGGGAAGGTATTCTGTTTGCTGTGTACCATTTCTATAATAGTTACCAAATTGTTAAATGTTTTTAGTAATCTGTTGTCCTGTTTCTTTGGTCTGTTTTTCTTTAGTTAGTGCAGGTTGTGGTTTTCCAGCCATTGTGTCTCATCCTATGTTAGTATCTGATGAATGCTTTTCTCATAAGCATTTAGACAGATCTTTATTCTGTTTTATAGCTGAAATGAAGACTCCAAAACGTAGACAGCCATTTGTCCCATTTGCTCTAAGAAATCATACTGGATGCACTCTGTGGTTTGCTACCCTAACTACAACACCTACACGGTAAGGGGGATCTTGAGACAAATCATATGTCCTGTTGTGGGATCACTTGGACAATATTTGTCTGGCTTCTCTAACATGTCAGCCAAACCCTATTGTTTTCAGTGCTTTTGTTTTAGAATCCCAGGCTGGTTTGGGTTGGAAGGGACCTTAAAGCCCATCTAGTTCCAACCCCCTGCCATGGGCACGGACACCCTCCACTAGTCCAGGTTGCCCAAAGCCCCATCCAACCTGGCCTTGAACACTTCCCGGGATGGGGCAGCCACAGCTTCTCTGGGCAACCTGTGCCAGGGCCTCAGCACCCTCACAGGGAAGAATTTCTGCCTCACATCTAATCTAAATCTACCCTCTTTTAGTTTAAAGCGATTACCCCTCGCCCTATCGCTACACGCCCTTGTAAACACTCCCTCTCCTGCTTTTCTTGCAGAGACACATAGGCAACTCCCCTTCTGTCTTAGTTAAGAGCCTTTTCATTGACAGTGAGATAGTTTTACTACTAAAAAGAAGATATTTTTTTTCAAGAGGCCGAAGAATTTGAAAACTGGTCAGATATATTCATGATGTATATGTATTTACTGTAGGACTTCTAAAGACTGAGGAAGACTGAAAAGCACTGGTTACTCGAAGTAGTCATTGTGTCAGTTTGTAAAATGCTATGATTCTCTTCACAGGGCTGCGCTGTCTCACAGTGGGAGTCCGGGTGTTGTTCCTGAGGAAAACGGGACATTGCTGGATGATGCCCATAATGTCAGTGAATGGCAAGAAGTTATCACAGGGGAGGAAATTCCCTTTGAATTTGAAGCCAGAGGGAAACTCAGACACAGGTGAAGGGACCAGGCTGCGAGATGTGTTTTGACACACTCATATGTGGAACACATAGGATCATAGGTGTGAGGACACTAGCAGATATTAAATAAAAAGTAGATTTTTTTAAAATCTCCTGTTAATGTTTTGGTTTTAAATATTTAAAACTCACGTATAGAGTAAAATTATCAGTTGTCTAGTAAGCAGCATATATTGCTGTTGGTGGCAGATGTGAGTTGGATCATTATGAGCTTTTATAAAGACTTAGGGGCTTCAGTTACAAATCATATGTCCTTTATTCTAAAGGACTGGGGAGGGTGTTGGTTGTTGAGCATAAGCATTATCAATGTTAAGAACTAGAAGAACTTGCTAACAAATATGGAGCATGCTTTTATTTTTGCTTATATGACATAGTTGTACTTCTGTGTGTTCATTAGGGAAGGTGGAATAATTGAACAGATGTAAAATCAGGTCTGTCTTTATGAAATGGAAAACTCTTGAGACTTTTTTTAAACGCTTCAGTGAAATTCTTTATTCAGAATCCAGAGGATGTTCTTCGTTTGAACTGTTTGGCGTTTACACTGTATAATAATGCTTAATAGTAATTTAACTTGATCTAACCTGGTAGGCACACACATGATCTAAGAATTCATCAATTGCAAGTGAGAGTAAATGGCTGGGAAGAAGTCAGTCCGGTATCTGTAGACAAAGTTGGAACATTTTTCCGATATGCTGCACCAGATAAGAACTCATCCTCTTCTACTGTAAGTTCTGATTTTGAGTGTTAATTTTAATAGAATCTGTAATTTGAGAGTAATGATGTCCCCAAGATTTTTATTTTAAAGACGCTGCTGCTGTCTGATTGTCTTCTTTCCAGTTAGCTTGAATTGGGAGAGTTTGGAGATGATGGAGTTCCTAACTGGCAGTTTTATGCATAACAAAAGCACAAACAGAGTAGTCAGCAGTTAGTCTGTGCTTAGCAGTCAGAGCTTCCAATGCCACAACTAATGTGGACTCACGGAGATTGAGCTTTATATCAGCATAGCATTTCAGCAGCTACTTTTATTTCTTCTATTGCAGGAATGATTTTCATGTGTTTAAATTACTTAAAATAAACAACACTGGCAATTTCCTGTAAGCCTAGAGATTGTTGAAATATGTGGCTGCTTAGACAAAATATACTTGTCATGATGGAAAAATGCAATTGTAATAATCAGTGGGCTGGCAGTTGGTGGTTGAGGCTCAATGATAAAAATGATCTTGTGGATTTCAAAACTAGTTAAGTTTTGAGACCAGCTACTGAAAATGGTTGAGCACTGGAGAAATTGGAAATTGAGATCTTTTTGGTGGAAAGCAGGATTAGAATTGAATTTAATGATACTACTGACAAGAGCCAGTAGTCTCTTATTTGAACTTTTCTGATGTTTTCATATTGAAGCATAAAAAGCATCATCTTTTTCTGTAACTTGATTCTTCAAGGAAAAAAGGAAAAGGATGCAAATTGCTGTTCAGGAACATCTTCTGTAGCTTTTGTCTTTTCTTTTTTTTTTTTTTTTTTTCTCCAAACCTTCTTCCTCCAGCTTCGTTTCATTTTAAGGCACTTTTACAAACAGGTTTTGCTAATACAGTTCTGGCATGTTTTCCAAGCTGTATTGAAGATCAGAAACACAAAGTGATGAAAGTATTTAATTTATTCTTCTGTAGTAATGGTCTGTATTACAACTGCGAGTAATGTCTTAAAAGATAATAAACTTTCTTGTTTACTTTTCTCCCAGCTTGGAAGCCCAATAAGTAGAACAAATATAATACATCCACAAGTCTACGTGAGTATATATTTTCATTTTCTGAGAGCTACTTAAATAAGACTAGCATAATTCTACAAGTGAACTGGCTTTTCCATCCTTCTAGAACCTTTTTGATAGAAAGGAAACAAAAGTCAAGCAAACAAAATGAACTTTCAAATCAGAACAAGTATTTAACGTGACTTACCATTCCCCATCCACGTAAGTGGTTGTTTGAAGAATGGGTCTTAAATTCCAGTATGTGAATTCCAGCATGTGAGCCCATATCAAATGGGGTTTTCAGGAGCGAAGTGGCAATGACTTTGTGTAATGTAGGAGATAAAACACTACAGTAGAAGGGCAGCTAAGACTGAAGAAAATATGAATGTTTTAAGAAAGCTCCACCTTATTTTTAGTTTTGACAGATAGGAATGATGAGTGACTTAATTATATGAGGCTTGGAATTCAAATTCTATGAGTTTATAAAACAATGTAATAGTGAGATAGCGTAAAAGCTGTTCTTTCAGCATCTGTGTTGCTCTTATTTGAACTTGCATCATTTTGAAAAAGATAATGGAATTAATAGTATTTAGAATTGCTTTTTCATAGTAACTTTTATTGTGTTTTGATGAGGATATACAGGATTATAAATTGTTATTATGAAACTATGTGTGCCTTAGGTGTTGCACATGGTTGGACTCAGCTGGCAAGTTTTTATTCCAGCAGTTACTGCTTCAAAATTGAGGTGTCCCTCTTCTAGTTATAATCATTACCTGAGCTTTTTAATGCTTTTAAATATCTTCCAGTTTTCTTCATTGCCTCCAGTTTGTGTGGTATTTGAAGTTACCATGGAAGGTAGTGCTCGGAAAGTGATCACAGTGCGCTCAGCCTTGATTGTGAAGAACAAGCTGGAAACACCAATGGAACTAAGACTAGACAGTCCTTCTGCTCCAGACAGTAAGTGTTGTATATTCCTTCCATACTGTGGGGAATCTTTAGCTTCCTCCCCAAGAAGATTCACCACTGCCTGTAATGGTTAACAGCAAAGTAGACCTCCCTGGAGGGGAAAAGGCTAATCTCAAGAAGAAAGTGATAGCAGGGTAAGCTAAAGAACGCAGTAGGGGTTTTCCTTCTTGTTCAGGTGAACAGAGAAAACTGAGACTCTGTAAAGACTGAATCTTATTTCTGTAGGTAGCATGTGGTATCTTTTAGAGTAGTAGTCTAAAAGATTTCAGGTGTGAGCATGCAAAGGTGCAATCTAGAAATGTAGTGATATGCTGATAATGTACCCAAAATGTAATGAATGAGGTCTTTGAGATAAGCATTTTCACTAAAGCATCCAAGGAAATAGAATTTGAATTCCAGGAAGTTTTTATTTTTAGTCTGTTTCCAGTTTCAGATTTAGAAACCTAAATTTGCCTGCTACCAGATTGTTAATAGGGCTTAAAACAATGGGTTGGTGATTGAAACATACCTAAAGTAGCTAGTCTTCTGTGTTAAAACGAAATGTGTTGCTTCAAAAATTTGAGACTTGCTATTTGAAATTTTTATGCTTTTCAGTAAAGGAGCCTGTTTTGATAACATGTATTTTCTTCTCTGGTTGCAGAACCTGTAGTTCTTCCAGCAGTTATGCCAGGAGATTCCTTTGCTATTCCATTACACCTTACATCTTGGCGTTTGCAAGCCAGGCCCAAAGGAATGGGAGTCTTTTTCTGTAAGGCTCCAATTCATTGGACTAATGTTCAGAAGACAGCAGAAGTATGTAGCAGCAAGCGAGAGTGTCATTCAATGGAGTCTGAAAACAGCAGATTTTTCAGGTAATTAAGACCTAATTATTTCTCTGTAAGCTGTGTTATCCTCTTCTGATAAATGAAATGCTGTGCCAGTGAGTAACGGAAAAATACGTAGAGATGAAAGCTTCTGCAGTCCAATGGGATGTTTTGTTTGGTCTCTTGAATAGTGAGGTAGCATAACTGCTGTGTTTCTGCAGGGCTCCTTGAAGCCCCTTTGACAGTGCCTATTAGCAAATGTCTGAGAATAAAAAGTAAGCACGCTATTAATATTTATTCTAAAAAAGAAAAGGTTAGAAAATAGAATGTGGACTTATGTTAAATTATCTAGTCAGTCTCACTGAGAAGAATGAGTGGTTTGCCATAGTGTGTTCGCAAATACTCATTCTTTGTCCTGAATGTCCTGTACTCTGTTCTAAGCCCGAAAATGTTGCTGCATAGTAAGGACTTAATAGAATTTTGTAGTGATCTGATATGATGGATTTAGGGATGCTCTCAATTTAGGAAGTACTAGAATAGAGATTATGGAAGTTGTTTCTGGAAATGACCTTCGCATACTATATAGTTACTGCTGGTTTTGAACATATCACAGGGAAGAAAGTTAACAAATTATTTAAAATGAAGATTTACTTAATTTTTTACCTTAACTAATGAAAAACTGAAATGTCAGGTGGTCAAAGCAAGGATATATCTACTGGGAAGAAGGACACATTTAGCGTTTAAGAACATTATTATGGTTCACTTTACTAAAAAGAGATTTTGAGTTTTAATAGTTGATGTTTCTGTAAGTTTATGGAAGTTGGTTTTAAAGTTGGTAATCCGTAAAAGCAATATTTTTAGGTCTCTGAACAGATGAGGTTTTGGCGACTAAATTAATTCTTTGCTTAAAATCAGGAAACTCCTGTTTTAATGTTAGGCAGAAATACAAAATCCCTTATAATCAAACTCTAAAGTGATTATGTGGAGAAGAATTCTAAATGCTGGTTTTGGTGTCTATCCTGCTGTTACAGCATGTTGTGGGATCTAATGCAGTACACAAAACCAGGGTTCAGTTATTCCTTTGACTTCTCACATACGTCTGCCTTCACAGGTTTTGTGTGGCTATCAAGAAAGAAAATTATCCAGATTACGTGCCTTCCAACATATTTTCTGACAGTGCTAAACAGATTTTCAGACAGCCTGGGCATACTATTTATCTCTTGCCAACAGTGGTAATCTGTAACTTGCTACCTTGTGAACTCGAGTTCTATGTTAAAGGAATGCCAATTAATGGGACTTTAAAACCTGGCAAAGAGGTAGCGTTGCACACAGCGGATACATCTCAGAACATTGAGCTTGGTAAGGTTCTTTTTCAAATACCACTTTCTGATCCTCCTGGAGGAGTACTTCAATAGAACTGTTTCTTGTATAAGGAACTATTGTGCAAAAATGGAGAAATTAAAAAATTGAAAACATTTATGTGATTATTTCATTGAGTTGCAGGGCTTCTTACAGTTAATAACCAAGTGCACACATCCAAAAAAGATACTAATATTGCCATCATTCCCTGTCATCTGTCAGCTGTCTTAGTCTGTTCCTTATTCGGCTCTTTTCTTATTTTCCTGAGAGTGGAAACAGTGGAAACTGGAGGTAACCGTGATAAAGAAGGGAATAAATCAATTGAGTTCCCAACATTTTGGGTGGTTTTGCTGTTTTCAGAAAAAGTTGGTGTTGAGAGTATATATGGAATTATTCAGCACTGGCTGGACTTCTGATGCCTGAAGCAGGAATTAGCCCTAAGCAAGGTTCTTTACAGAACTTCTTTTGCTGCTTGTGACTTAAATTGAAGCCTTTCCTCATGAGGGCAGAGGTTGCTACACTGGGCAGTTTTAAAAATTAATCTGGGTAAGCCATATGAAATATTCAGAAAGACCAAGCCATATGAAACGCCAACCTTTATGCTTATCAGAAACTAATGTTTCTGTGTGAGTGATGTTTGGTTTTATTTTGTTTTATTTTGTTTTCATAGGGGTATTACTAGAAAACTTCCCAATCTGCAAAGAGCTGTTGATTCCTCCTGGGACACAAAACTATATGGTGCGGATGCGATTGTATGATGTCAACAAACGACTGCTAAATTTAACCATAAGGATTGTGTGTCGTGCTGAAGGTTCTCTAAAAATACTAATTTCGGCACCATATTGGTTAATCAACAAAACAGGTAAGTTTACAGTAATTTGTTTCATAGCTGTAATCATGAACTGGGAAATAAAGATTTCATGCAGTGTTTTGCTTTTATACACTATTTAAGAGGAATTAAAGTTGCAGGAATATTTATTTTATTTTACACATTGACAGCAGCTATTGTTTGATGAATGTTACAGTCGATAACTTAGACACTGCTCCGTGGGTTGCAGCTGTTAGTAGGTCTGGCTGTTAAACAGGTTCGATGGAGAATGAGAGGGAGAATGCATGTAGACTATTGGCTGATACTACAACCCAAATATTTTAGGTTGTTCCTCAATTTGAAGTAGTTTTTACCGTTCTCAATTTATGCAAAGGTGAAGTGTAGTTTGACACTCTATTTTTTGTGTTTACGTAAAGGATTACCACTTATCTTCAGACAAGATAATGCGAAAACAGATGCTGCAGGTCAATTTGAAGAGCACGAGCTTGCTAGAAGCCTCAGCCCACTTCTGTTCTGTTACGCTGATAAAGAACAGCCAAACTTGTAAGTAATACCACAAGAAGAGCAGACAGGAGAAACCTTACAAAGTATGAAAGTAATTCGCAGAAGATTGAGTGCTGAGTTGAATATCATGTAGGAAAAGCCTTTCCCTATTAAGATGATCTGTTAAGTCACTAATTTTCTAAATACTGAAATAATGATACTGGATCTTTAGGCCCTTCCTACTGAAAACTCCTTGGTTGGCTAATTCTATTGTGTCTGCAGGCTGCTTTGGTTTTCTTTTGCATGTTTTGAACTCATGCTTCTTTTGTAAGAAAATCGAAAACCTTTTTGAAGAGACTTACTGAGTTGTATAAATTACTTTACGACTACTACATAACCCCACGCCAAACCCCTAAACTCTGAATGCCAATAGAGAAGTAGCAGCAGTCACTTACTAGGAAGTCCACATGCAACAGAGCTATTGTGATTCTGATGTAGAAGGAAATGGCAGGATTTTGGAAAGGAAACTTTTTAGCTACTTTAACTGGCCTCAAAGAGAGAACTTGCTTTTTCCATGGAAATAAGAAATAAGAACGTGTTTAAAGTAAATTTATCTGAAATGTGTCTAAAAATTACCAGGCCTTTTACGTGACGTGGTCACTGAATCTTGACCTTATGGCAGAAATGCAGAATGAAGTACTCAAAAAGAGATTTATTGTGGCTTCTAATGCTTTTGTATTAAAACACTGGTGTTCTTTTTGTATCTGGGTGTGTGTTTGATCATCAGCATTGTGTTGATAACTGATCCCTCATTTAAATGAGTAAACCTTTGTGGTTTTTTCTTACCCTTAGTTGTACAATGCGGGTTGGAAAAGGGATTCATCCTGAAGGTATGCCTGGCTGGTGCCAGGGTTTCTCCCTGGATGGTGGTAGTGGTGTCAGAGCCCTTAAAGTGATCCAACATGGAAACAGACCAGGCCTCATTTATAACATTGGTACGTGTTGATAGGAACGTTTGAGAAATACCATAGAGTTTGATAAGACGTGATGTCAGTGGCACCAAAATCGGAACAATTACAGTAGGGAAACATATGTTGTTAAAGGCTTTTGAGGGTCCAGAGAAAATTTATTAAACAAAAAATACTATTCTAAGTAGTTTTACTTCTTTATTTTGAATTTCATTAGCTTAAAAATCAGTTTTCAGTTATTTTTATTTTTACATTTAATCACTGAGTATTAATAACTGCATTTACAAACAGTTCTATTTCTGTGTCTTTATTCCCCCTGTATGTTACTTCTAAGTACCTTTGAAATCCCACTGCATTACTGCGATTATTTTGAGTGTCTATATACAATAACTGTTCAGCTGTGTGCTACTTCTGTAGTTTTTGCTTTGTGGTGCCTCTGTAGGCTGATGTGGAGGAGCAGCTTCTGTCTTCCTTGTGCTCCTAGTGTGCATAAAGTACAATTTCCTCAGAAGCTTTAGTTTTTAATTAAATATCAGACTAGATTTTCAGAGTTTGGAAGTTAGTGCACAGTGATTTTTGAGGAATTTTTCCTGTGTTTAAAAGTGGAATAATTAGTTGCATGGATTTACTTGTGATGGGAAATATAGGGGTCTTTTATCTTCAGTGCTTATGATCTCTAAATAGCACTTGAGAAACAGAGGGTAAGAGATGGCATAGATGTTTACTGTTTAAAATAATTGTCAGAATATGACAGTGGTACGGCAGAAACAGCGCACCTCAGAAACCCAAGAAAACTTTTGTTATGTGAAATATATTATGGCAGATGTCTTTTGTTTTCTCTTGTAAATAACAGCTTTATTTTTAACTTGTTTTTCTTACTAGGTATTGATGTTAAAAAAGGCAGAGGCCGTTATATTGATACATGCATGGTAACATTTGCACCCCGTTACCTATTAGATAACAAATCAACCTACAAGCTTGCCTTTGTTCAGCGGGAATTTGCCAGAGGTCGGGTAAGCTGCTTCCTTTCTGTTACTTGTTACTACAATGCTGTAGTTAGTCGTAGCATCTTCTAACCAAAAAGAACACAAACGTTATACTTGAAGGTATTGTTGGCTGGTTATGAGGATCTTTCTCATTATTCTAATACCAGCATCCACTTAACAATAATTGCTGTGTTTGTATTTGAGAGGTATATAGATTAATACTGTATTTTTTTAATACCTATAGGATATGTATTTACCATTTCTATTACTAGGGAACATCCAATCCTGACGGCTATATCTCCACACTTCCTGGTTCCAGTGTCGTGTTCCACTGGCCACGTAATGATTATGATCAACTATTGTGCGTGAGACTAATGGATGTCCCAAACTGCATTTGGTCCGGGGGCTTTGAGGTCAACAAAAATAACTCGTTCCATATTAATATGAGGTAGCTATTATATAGAAATCTTATGTAGCATGCTTCCACAGAAGCTGTTTAACATTTATGACTGCGGGTAGTGCAGATCAGAAGCCTACCTCTCTTGCACTTCTTTGTTCTTGTTCAGGGACACCTTGGGAAAATGTTACTTCTTAAGAGTAGAAATTACTCTTCAGGGAGCCACATACCGCATTGCATTCAGTGACACTGATCAGTTACCTCCACCTTTCCGCATAGACAATTTTTCCAAGGTAAGAGAGCAGAAAAAAATCACTTTTTTCTTTTATTTTTTAGTAAAAAAAGAAAAGTAGGACTTCTTTTATGTTTGTTAGAAGAGGGAACTGACTAGCTTGCATAACGAAATAAAATGAAAGTGTGTGTAGCAAGAGGTATTTGTGTATAATAAGTGTAATTTTCTGAGGTTTTAGTAAAAATTGGTAGAACTCAGCTACTGTATCTTGTTCAAATAATAGCGCTAACATCGTGGCTTTCATGAGTGCATTAAAATTCTTGCAA